TGTTTGGGGATGTTAGGCACTTTAATGTAGTACTCCCAAATAGTTTAGTTATAGAGCAATGAATTCCACACTTGTAATTTAGTAAACGAAAAATTGGTCTAGTAATAAATGGATATGAACAGAAATCTAACTTAAACTAAAAAAAACGACCACTCTGATAGAATGGTGGTAGTAGTAGTTAAGGAGGAGGAAACAAGTGCGGTTAATCCTGGTGTGAATGAAAGCAGAGAATTCGATCCGCCAAAACACATTGAGACCAACAATGGGCGAGTTAAAGAAGTAGCACGGTCTGAGCGAAGCTCTTTGAAGCTGATATTTAAGAAATTCAACACGGTTTTTTTGAAAACCGACGTATTAGTCAATTGGGTCGAGTACGTAACACAGGGTGGCCCAAATTTGAGATATTACGTCACCGACTATTTTTTTGAATTGCATTTCTAATTTTTTATTACTATTATTAAAAAGTATATCAAGTTACACATGCGTCTCAAATTTCAAATTTTTAGAGTGCAGTTTAAAGTAGTAGTCGACATGTCCGAGTATGTTTCCGAAAAAAAAACCTTCTTTGACTTGAAAGTAGTGCGAGCTTTCATTTTCCCTGGCTTAAACGATCCCGTTAGCACCTTCTGTGGGAAATTTGTTCGGAAAATCTGAATCTATATTATCAGAACCCGCTAGATGTAGAACCTATAAGTTACTACGACGAACGACTTCGCAGACTTGTCGCATTATCATCCCCCCCCCCCCTGCCTGCCATTTCTACTTTCTGATGCGCCGTCGAACGCAACTGCCGGAGCTTACAGTAACTATATATAGAGTCATATAATGGTGTTGTTTTCTGTTGGTGGTTGGGAGATTCGCCATGGTTTGGCCAAATACACCGGAAGAAAGGAAAAAAGAAGCGAAACGTCGTAAAACAGTAAATGAAGTAAAAACAGTAGTAGGTGACTAGTCGGCGCAGTCGTCCTATTTGAATTTCGTGCGCATAGTTCCAATATATATGCTTAAAAACGCAATTTCAGCAGATTACTGAAATAAAGCTCTGAAATTTCGGGAATCCAGGGGGGCGAACGTTGGGTATTTGTCTGGTAGTTACCAGAGACCAAGAGTGAACCAAAAACTTCGTAGAAATTAGTCTGAGGTGGCGAGTTTGATGGGCTAAATGGCCTCCGAAAATCCTCCAGTCTGTGAATATTGCAATGATACCATAGTATCTATGAAACATGTCAAAATTACAGTACCGACTCGACCATCGCCTCCAGTGATGTGACAAACTGTTCGAAATCAATGAACTTTTACAAAAAAATTCAAGTATAGATTGTACCAGAACCGTTGTAAAGTAGTTTTTATTTCTTCCATTTTTTAGGGAAATAAACTATCAACAATCTCTTTTTTGGGTTTTCGCATACACTCAGACAATATGAGTTTTTGCTTCGACGAAACCTTTAGGGCCAAGTGCTACTTGAAAATAGACGTGTTTAAATAGTTAGTCTTACTTTCTCTATTGCAAAACTATAATTTATAATCGAAGGCTTCCATAGTTCTTAACTTAATTTTCAAAAATAAAAGATTGAGGTTCTGTACAAAAGTGCATTTCATTTGACTCAGTTGACTTTGATGTAAGTTTTGAAGGGTCTTTTCTTAGCCAGAAGAAAGTAATGTAAGTCTGGGGATGCTAAAAGAAGATACCTATGTCTGATAGATATCCCCCTCCCCCTACTATTGCAATCTACTCCATAATATTTGATCCCCTCTTGAGATACGATGACAGTAAGTTGCGCCGCTAACCAGAAACTATGTACCAATTTCTGACAAAATCTCAAATATGCTTAAACGATTTGTCAGAGAAAAAGCTTGCACGGGAAAAATGGATTATTACCAAACCCCAAATGTTGATTCAGTATCCTCAAAAGACATATACAGGCTGTTTCACGCAAACAGTTACCTAAAAATATTTAGACTTCGATTAATCATTGAAATCTGAAAATTTGCATACCAACATAGTTTTTCATGATCTCTATCGAAAAAAAAAATTATATCATGATCGGATAGCAACTTTCTTATTTTAAATAGAACACCCTATATTTTATTGCATTTTTGAAATCTACATGAAAATGCACGTCGTTTGATACCACATTTCCCTAACCTAGCATCAAAGGCGCTGATCTGTAGGCCTGTATTCAAAAATGTTCAAATACATACAGTGAGTTTTTTTTAAATGCGAACATAGGAGTTTGCATGCATAGTCCAGTAACTTTGTTCCTAAAAATGGGAGGTACCAAGCGTCAAATCCGGTAGTTCTGATTTTTTGTGGGATTGCTTATGTTGTTAACCCATTGTATAATTCGAGTTTTCGACCTCGAGCGGCGAACGCAACATAGTCAAATATACTAAAAACCGAGGAATTTTCGTTTTCTTTTCAGATTTTGACGATTTTAACCCTGAAGGACCAGTTTTTCGCCAATAACGGTTCAATAAGTTTTCAAAGCAGACCAAATTTGCTATAATTTAAGCCCACATCCGTTTGTATAGGTGTAATAGATTCAGAGATAATGCTTTTCAAAGATGTTGCGTTCGCCGCTCGAGGTCGAAAACTTGAATTATACATTGGGTTAACAACATAAGCAATCCCACAAAAAATCAGAACTCGCAGAATCGCATTTAAAAAAACTCACTGTATAAGCATCATGGGTAGAATGACCCGGCGCTCCGTCAAGTTGAAACCAGTACCTATGGAACGCCGTTGTATCTTTTAATAACTGAACACCCGGACTAAAAAAATTAACTATAATTGACGCAATGGTACTAAATTTTATAGAAATTTACTTTGTGTTAACAACAATTGCCTAGTTGAAATTAATAATTGCATATCTTCCAATTTCAAATCGGCAGTCTTATTCATATATCACGATTTAGAAATAACGTGTTGAAAATTTTAATGTTCAAAAATTATCGATTTGATATTATTAAATAATCTTTAATATCACCTTCACGCTTTGTAATAATTTTCAATTTCAAGTTGAAATATTCAATTCTCTATTTCAAACTCGTAACTTTGGAACGCACAATTTAATTTTTAATATCAACTCTGTGACATTGGTAATTCCTCAGAGTATTTAAAAATTTCAAGTAGAAATTAGTAATTTGTGCAATAGAATTAAAAATATCAAGGCGATATTTTTAAATCACATATAGCAAATTGACCTGCCCTGTAGCGACAGTAAGTTTAATAATCGGAACAGAATTTAAAATCTCCATTTCGCGTAATTGTACATTTTTTTGTCAATATTATTCGCACAATGTATTTATGAACGATATGGGTAATAAAATAAGCACTTGAAAGTAGATTTTCGCAGTAATTACATCAAACGTGATTAGTTGGGTTGAGGTTCGCTCCTCACTTTTGACATCACTCGATAAATGGCGCCACAATATTTTATATGTCATGACATATAAGTAAATCGAATTACCAATATCACAGAGTTGATATTAAAAATTAAATTGTGCGTTCCCAAAGTTACGAGTTTGAAATAGAGAATTGAATTTTTTATTTCAACTTGAAATTGAAAATTATTACAAAGCGTGAAGGTGATATTAAAGATTATTTAATAATATCAAATCGATAATTTTTGAACATTAAACTTTTCAACACGTTATTTCTAAATCGTGATATATGAATAAGACTGCCGATTTGAAATTGTTAAATATGCCATTTCAATAACGGTTTTTGAAATGTCGCACAAAAACCGTTATTTGAAATTGTAAAAGAGGAAATTATTGCGAGTTGTTATTGGAAGATATGCAATTATTAATTTCAACTAGGCAATTGTTGTTAACACAAAGTAAATTTCTATAAATTTTAGTACCATTGCGTCAATTATAGTTAATTTTTTTAGTCCGGGTGTTCAGTTATTAAAAGATACAACGGCGTTCCATAAGTACCTTTCCCCAGGCAATATTTCCAAGAATGGTACAATGACTTCTACGCGATTACTTCAAGGCCTCCTAAACAAATTATGCGTATAACGGTCACAATTTTAGAAAATAAACGAAAACCTTTACAGATAGGTATAGGGAATGTAATAATTCATCGATGTAGAATTTTGTCCAAATTTGAAAGTGCAAAAAAAATTAAGCAGGTTTCATTTTAAAAATCACCTTTTTAAGGTTCGAACTTGATAATTAATTTTAAAACACCCTGTAGAAGAGCGATCAAAATTTAAATCATTCGCATGTAGCAACACGTAAGTATTGTTGAAGACTTTTTGAAATTCAAGTCAAAGGAGCCAACGGAGGTACAGGGCGCTAAAAAAAGCAGTCAAATGTCAAAATTTTGAAAAATCTTTAATAACTTGAAAACCGTTGATGCTAGAGGTAGAGAAAGGTGTTATCAAACGACGTAGATTTTCATGTAGATTTCGAAAATGCAATCAAATATGGGGTGTTCCGCTATTCACTTCCGGTACGACCGGAACTAAAACGATCATGATAATATTTTCTTTCTATAGGGCATAAAAAACTATGTTGGTATGCAAATTTGCAGCTTTAAATTATTAATGGGAGTCTGAATACTTTTAGGTAACGGTTTGCATAAAACAGCCTGTATACTTACGGTGCGCGTAACCAAAACTATTCCACAATTTTCCTGCGAGAGACCCCATTAAATACAGTTTAGGAGCTATAAACTTTTCGGTCACCCTTTTACCACTGACAGTTCCGTCAAAGCTTGTTTAGATATTGTACCGCTTTCGATTGCGAGGCATTTTAATTTCGTTTTTGAGCGCATAATTGAAAAGCATTTTACTGATCGTCAAAAACCATCAAAAGGTTTTACAGCTTCTTATGTACATGAATAACGAATTTTCTTTGAAAGCTCGAATTTTTTCAATTAGGTAGGTGGGATCATAAAAAAATATAGTATGAAGCTCGCTTTCTTAAGTAAATAAATTCAAATGAAGCATTTGAAATCGCCCAGTAAAGATATAAAGCTATTTACTTACCCTCCGATGCTTCTCGATCTCGCTGCGTAATATGGTTCCCACATATTGTAGGAGAATGGATCTCGGTAGGTGGGTATTTCGTTAGTAACTTCTGCAGCTCTAGATTGCCGCTTGGAGAATCGCCACATCGCCTTGAGTTCCTCACAGGTTGGTTCCGCGTTGAGACCATCTTTGCTGGCGACTTCGCCCGTTCCTCGATATTCTTTTGTGCGACTAACTGCAAACGCTTTACTTTGTGCACAAGCCAACCACCATAGAAATATTCCAGTCAATATACAATTTATCATCTGCAATGAGACGTTAGTAGATGCGATTTGCAAAATGAAACAAGTTTCAGCAAAACAAACATCTGATTTCATTATGTTTATTTCATTTTCCCTGAAATCAACTTGAGATTTTAATATTATACATCGGATTTGTTTTGCTTGAAAAAGGTATGGGTTGTTGTAAGAGCGAGTAGAAATAAAAATGTAATAAACCGCCGGGTTAATAAAAACGTTATCGAAGCAAATGTAGAGTAACAGGGGTGGTGAAATAATGGCAAAGATAAAAGCTGTTTAAATGTAGGCAGGGGGTTTTATTCTTTCTACAACGTGCTGTTGATTGAGTAGGGTAAATCGCTTCAAAAATTATGTCAATATTTAATATTAAAATATTTAAGTGAGGTTCACGTGAAATAAATTGAAAAGTTGTTTAAAAACCAAAAAAACATTCGAGGAAAAGTGTCTCCGTGATTAACTATTTAATTCAACAAAATCTTAACAAACGATTTAAATTGTTGCGTCAAATTGGAACACTTACCATCGTGCCCCTATTTCAGAGCCCAATCGCCTAACAGGTTCAGATACCTTTTGTTGATAACAGCAATAGCAAGCAACTGGCAGAGATAACTTTGCGATAGCTTACTGATCACTATGATCTTGCGCAGTGACTCAAACAAAAAAAAAACATGTTTGTTGAGGTTGTGCGTGATGAGGTTTTTTTTTTTAATTACACATGAACCTGGAAATTATATATAAAACGCGTCCCAGACTGACCCGACTCTAAAATTGCTCTACTAAAGATACAATTGTATGAAAGGTTTAATGAATGACCGTCGGTCACTATACATTCAAGATTTCAACAAGCGCTGTAGAAAACGTAGTAGTGCTAACAGGTGTTTTTCAGCTTTTTAACTATCGTCTAAGCGCATTTTGCATAACGTTTTCATTCACCGGAATTTCTTCAGTGGACATGCCTGATGAGCGAAAAGAAAGTTGAGTAATAAAAACGTGGCGAAAAGACATACATCAAACAGTCGCAATATCCCTAAAATTTCTATACAAATTATATAAGAAGTTACCTTGTTGGTGGCGTGCCTCGGTGCGTGCAGTTAGCAGTGATAATGAGAGAAATGTGCAACTAAGTGCGTTTCAGGAGGTGCAAAAATCAAAATAAATCATTTTGCAATTTTAAAAAGTTAATGTAAACTTTTTCATTGTATAAAAATTACAAATAAGTGCAGAATCGTGCTCTGTGCTGTGAAACTTGCTTCCGTCTTATTATATCAAAGATACCAAAAAGTCGAGGCCATACCAATTCGAAATACGTACACAAATAATATTTCGCACGCAAAAATTTACGGCTGCATTTCTTTAAGGTTGGCGGAAAACTAGTTGTCTGGAGCTTGAATTGGGGTTGCGCCAGCAGGGGTAGCTGCTCCTGGGCAAGTACTTCAACGCGCTCTCTCGTGTTCACCTTCTCTCTCAGTTACCGCCCCCGATTTCCAACTGAATAAAACTAAGTTGCTGCATAGTTGCGCTTACGATTTTCGTAATCTTCACCTTCCATTTAGTGCTTTATTAGCGGCATTCCATTCATTCTAACCGATTTATCATAAAAAGTTTTTCTGACGATCAGCAATTCTTTATCCCATTAGCAAAGCGTTCGTGAAAAACTTACCCAAATATGTCATTTAAGGGAGAGTGAATATGTATGTAAATTGCGTAGGTGGGCCGACGTAAAACCAGCGGCTCGTATAATCCGCATCTTCCTTGCAGCATTATCCTGAATAAGAAATTAATGCCCCGTTTAATGAAGTTTAATTCCGATAATTTAGCAAAATCAACAAGTTTCCATTAAAATGACATAACAAAGTTACGTATCTACAGCGCCAAGCGTGTTACGTACAAGCTTTTTACTGGTACGCTCATCTGTCCACATTCATCAGGGAGTAGAAGTTTAATCGATCCCTTACTTTCACGTTTCGTGTTTTTGGAGTTAATTTGTTGTCAATTTTAGGGAAATATGCAGAGATCTCACAACCGCTTAAATTGTTTCCGCAATTTTTGGCATACCCTCATGTGGTGTTCGGAAAGGAAACTTCTGACCGCCAGAATTTAAATTGACTAGATTTTTGAGACGTCTGAGGGATGCGTTTTGTGCAGCTTTCGTTACTGTTAGATCAAAATTAACACAATCATGCAAAAATCGTTTTTTTTCTTCTCCTTTAATTATACAGTCTGCCATAGTTTATTTAGCAATAAATATTTTATAGGATTAGAGTGTGTGTTGATTACAAAACGACATGTGGAAATTCCAGCGAAATCTGCCCTTACAATTTTAATATGTAATGTAATGTATGCTATGAAAATAATATACTATTTGTCAAATGCAATTTATAGTTAATGTTGAAATCTTGTAGGTAAATCAGATGATTTGAAACGTTTTAGTCTTCTGGGTTCAGGGTCCGTGAAGTTGTACTGCCGACTTCAAAGGAATTCACCTCCAAGTATCTCATAATTTTGTGCTCATTTTGTGCTAATTTGTGCTGCTAATTTAAAATTTTGTGCTCATCAGGTTAATAAGTAGTTCATTTTTTTCTGATGGCACACCAACTTCAAGCTGTACTATTCTAGAAGATGTTTTATATTACTTTAAATCGTTTTTCTAAAATAGCAATACGTTTGTTCGGGAAATTTTTCGAATGAAACAAATCCCTTTATGTGATGGTTTTGTCCGTCCGTTTGTCCGTCTGTTATTACCGTCTAACTCGAGAACGAAAAGAGACTGCAATGTCAAACCTTCGCCAATGGATGTATCCAAGTTCAAGGAGCAGTGCTATTCAATATGAGCCAGATTAAAAATCGTGTTTCCGAATTTGTATGCTACTCGGCGTATCTTGTTGTGAATTGTTACGTTGACTTTGAGTAAACGTAACAAAATTACCACGAGTAAGCTCATCAGGGAAAGTAGAGGTTGGTCAGCGGTGAATAATGGGGTTCTTGTACACTAGCAAAAATGAAGGGAAGGGAAGGGAAATGTAGTAACAGTTAACCGGATAGTCTCCACTTAGTCTTTAGTAAATGTCAAAAAAGAAAAGAGGATACCCGCCTAAAGAGGAAACAAGGCAGACTAGGATACCCTTGTTCTGTTGTTGATAAGCCAAAGTAATAAAATAATTGACAAGGATAGAACATAAACAATAATCGTTGTCACAATCGAGGGTAATGATCTCACAATATTACAAATAGCACACTGTCCTTTGGCCACAATTCAGTCGACATCTCTAGCAAAAACAAAAAAAGTGTTTCGCATAATGAATTTTACTCTGCGCGGATAATTAATGCGCGATTTTGTAGGGCCTGTTACAGCTGCACTAATACCAGGTTAGTTATGTTATATTAGTTATTATATACTTATAATTGGAAGCTCATAACGTTTAAGACACCGAAAGAATTGTAAAGATATCATTCATAGAAAAAGAAAGATGATGGTGGAAAAATAGAAGAACACGGATTTACGATGATTGTTTTATCTTCAAAGACTTTAAACCTAAAAATAAATTATTTCCAGTGTTTATAAAATTTTACAAACACCATAATTTAATTACATGCACCATCGGCAAGCTCTCAATGAAATTTCGTGATTTCTATATTAAACGGGTCCGGAGTAAAAAAAATAAATAGTGGAGGCGCGCGGAATGCCCATAAGCCGTAATATATTAATGTATTCAAATTGCCTTCTATAATGTCATTCTGCATTATCTGTAACAGATAACACCAACAAACAACCAAGAGGGCAGAGCTGGGCAGAATACTTTCAAAAAGTATTTGAATACTAAATAGTAAATACTTTACACAAATCAAAGGTATTTGAATACTAAATACTTTTACGTCCAGCACAAGCGAATACTAGATACAAATACATTGAAAAGTATTCAAATACTTTAAAAAATACGTATTCAAATACTATAGAATATATTCGAATACTTTCAAAAGTATTCTAATACTTATAAAAAGTATTCGAATACTTTGAAAAGTATTTCCTTAACTTACTTTGAAAAGTACGAATACAGTAAAAAGTATTCAAATACTTGTCACTCAAATACATTAAAAATTTAAAATAGTATACTAGATAAAAGTCTTAATACTACTTAAAAAATCAAGTTATACATTGTATGGGGTTAGTTTTTTTATATTTCTATTGTTATATACAAACTTAAGGGGAGTAAAAGGACCTTTCTTATACCAGTTATATCCTTAAGAATACGTGTACCAGTTTTCAAAGCGATCGTACGTCGTGCACATAATACGTACGCCTTTCTGAAATTAATCCTAGCGATTTTGGAACAGACCCATTTTTGACCATCCGTTTGTCCATGTGCATGTTAGTTTGTTTAGAAACGTGCGATCGCTTTGAAAATTGGTACACATGGTCTTAAGGATATAAGAAAAGTCCCTATTGTTTTTAAGTTACGTAGACTATCGAGTCAAAAAGTTTCACTCCAGGATTGTTCGGTATTCAGTTGCATCGGATTTTTATATTTGATTTTATGACAATGGAAACTTTCCCTAAACATTTCTAAATTGTTCTCAAATATTTGAATAACTTAAAAGTACTGCGTTTTTTTGAGGCCGGAAAAAAATTGTCTCAGATCGACCCGGACAGATTTTCTTATAGAATGTGGCCTGTAGAATCCATAACTTCAAACAGTTCCAAGATTGGGCTACTAGTTCAAAAGTTACAGCCCTTTGAATTTTCTTTCGAAATTGGTTTCTAGTCTATAACCTTTAATTGAGAAGTCTGATCGAAAAAGTACGAATTGTTTTGGATTCTACGCACCAAAATTAATAAGAAAAAGTGTTTTCTCGAGAAATTTTGGTGCAGTCGATTTTTGGTAAAAAAGTAAGGTTATACACTGCCTTTTTTTGAGGCCCCAAAAAAAATTGTCTCAGATCGACCCGGAAAAAAAATTTTCTTATAGAATGTGGCGTGTAGAATCCATAATTTCAAACAGTTCCAAGATTGGGCTACTAGTTCAAAAGTTACAGTCCTTTGAATTTTTTTTCGAAATTGGTTTCTAGTCTATAACTTTTGATTGAGAAGTCTGATCGAAAAAGTACGAATTGTTTTGGATTCTACCCACCAAAATTAATAAGAAAAAGTGTTTTCCCGAGAAATTTTGGTGCAGTCGATTTTTGGTAAAAAAGGAAGGTTATACACTGCTTTTTTTTGAGCCCCGAAAAAAAAATTGTCTCAGATCGACCCGGAAAAAAAATTTTCTTATAGAATGTGGCCTGTAGAATCCATAATTTCAAACAGTTCCAAGATTACCAACTAGATCAAAAGTGTTTTCCCGAGAAATTTTGGAGTAGTCGATTTTGGTAAAAAAAAAGGAAGGTTATGCGAAGGATTCAAATACTTCTTAAAGTATTCAAATATCTTGCGAAGTATTCGAATACTAAATATTTGTGAAAGTATTTGAGTTACAAATACAAGTACTGCTTCCATAAAAGTATTTAATTACAAAGTATTTGAATACTTTAAAGGATTTGAATACTAAAAAGTATTTACAAAATCGAATACTGCCCAGCTCTGCAAGAGGGATAGTGAAAGTTTAACGTCCGAGACTAATCAGGTAAATCCTATACTATAACCGTAATTAATACTCAATAAGTATCAATAATAATTACTTTACACTAGCAAAAGCAAAATTTTGACTCGACCACGGATCGTCGTACAAATTATCGAAGCGTTGACTAACCGATTTGGACGCGAGAAGATCGAAGTATATGTCAGGGAACTGGTACGGAAATATAAGCTCGTTTCCCAATTTATGGTTATCGCTGTTAGTAGGTAAACAAGGGCTGCCCTATTCGAAGAGCTGGTTTTACGTACCATACCAACCCCCAACAAAAATTCTTTCTGGCTTTCACTTGACAGATTTGTATTTTATTAATATTTAGATACTGTATGTTTGCTTTTGGAATTTATATTTAAAATGAACGTGCAGAATTAAACGGTATAATTAATTGTATAGCGTTCGCTGATGGTTACTGCAGTTTGGGGCATTGATATTAAATTTATAAATGAATTTTTTGCAGCATTTCATTTATTTTGCAGATCAAATATGTTTCTGTGTCTTTTTTACAGGGTGTTTCATCTGGACGCGAGTTGCGTTAGGCCAGGATTGTTACATATTGCACTTGGTATTAAATTGTATTAATTAATTTATACTAATATTTTGCCACAACATGTTCCTTTGCTTTGTTGTAAAGTTGATTAACGTCATGCTCCTTTCACTGTTTATAATTAGAAATTTCATAAAGTTACTTGACAAAATGCATTCGTGTCATTACAAAAAATTAATTGT